TTTCCTTCTTTTCAGGAAGATGAAAGGCGCATGCCGGACGTGATCAGCTCAGAATATTTAAGACTGAAGCACTGCGATGGAGTGAGTAGCCACTGAGATGTGATGTGAGTAGCCGCTGAGATGTGATGTCCATTGTATTGTTAAGACTCCAGCTTAAGTTGACATTGGATTCCGGCGCTACTGGCCACAGAGATCGTGTTGTTCGAATAACTACGTGTCTTCGCCATTCGGTAGTCGGTACATAGAACAGGGAACACATACCGCTGAAAACACACCCTCGAGAGTCAGGCTCGCAGCACCGAACGGAGACATGTCACTTCATTCGAGAATCGAAACAGTAACTAAGCACTATTTTAATTGCGGTTTACAGACATCTCGAATCTGGATCTGAGTAGTAGAGTCAAAAGTCTGGAGCCTCAAGCTCTCAAGCTCAAGGGCCATTGGAGCCTCCCTCCACAGTTACAGTGGACTCCAGTTAAAACAAGACTCCAAAAAAAAATCATTTGCCGGATTTTTGGCATTCTGGAGTCCGTCGTCCGGATTCTCCGTCGTATCCGATGTCTCGAATCCCGATCCCCGCACAGAAAAAGTAAGTCTTCGCCATTCGCTGCATGGGCTTGACCGGGAATTGAACCCGGGACCTCCTCCAAACGACTGCCCTAAGAAGGAATCATACTACTAGACCATCAAGCCTGCTGAGGGCCGCAGCGCGGCGCAAAATCTTCCGTCGGGCGGGGCGGAGGGCGGAGGGGCGGCTTGTATTGGCCGGTATTCTGGTATTGGCGGTGCAGTGATGGCAATGCGAGGTTGCGATGCATCGAACGAGCATCGAAAAAGCGGTACATGTTGTTCATGTTATGTACTAGTAGAGAGCACTGGCTAGCGCTGATTACTATCGACACTTCCCTATGCGACCTCTTCTAGAGCTACATGGCATTGGCATTGGGTGTACAGGCGGCGATTGGGTACTGGGTAGTAGCAGATTTTTCATGACAGACGGAATAATGAATAATGCAACAGCATAATGCAATGCATAAGTGGAAGATGCATAAGTGGAAGATGCATAAGAGAGCACAGATGAATGATTAAGGAACAGGAAGGGAAGGGAAGGTCCGCTTTAACTCATCTCCTACGATGGCTCCTCCCCGCTTTTCTAGCGCCCTTGACGACACCCTGCTTATTCACCGCCGTCTTCCTCGCACGCGGCGTCATCCCCTTCGCTGCGCGCCATTCGTCGTTGCGCGCCGGCGTCCGCCCGTGTGTGGATACTTTTTCAGCGTCGATGTCCATGCCTGCTCGTACGGGTCAGCCACACGTCGAATGAATCGTGAATTGATATGGGGCTGGAAATTGAGAACGAGAACGAGAACGAGGAAGGGAGGATCAAGGGGATGTGGGATGAAAAAAAGAATCTAAGGATGCGTCGTCTTGGTCTCTCTCTACCCCCAGAAAACCAACAACAAACGCGAATCAAGCAAGCCCAAAATTCAAGCACTCAAAACAAAAAAGAGAAACGCAAGCTCAACAAAACAAAAAAAACGCACCTTCCCCCCTCTCCCTTGCCTCCCTCGCCTCCTCCCCCTCCCTCTCCCTCTCCCTCATCTCCTCCTCCCTCACCCTAACCTCCTCCTCCGCCGCGCCGAGTCCTTTACCAGCAGCAATCGCACCCCACAATCCCCGCTCATCCCTCTCCGCACCGCGCTGCTCCTTCCCCTCTTTCGCGCGGTGCAGTTTCGTGTTTAGGCGGTTGAGCCGGGCGGCTTCGAGCGCGCCGTAGACACCGCTGGTGCGCTTGTCTGCGCGGTGTGCGCGTTTGGTTTTGGAGCGGAGGGATTTGGCCATTGCTTTTGCTTTTGGGGCTGCTTGGTTGTATCGGCTGCGACAATTGTTGCTGCCTATTCGTGCGTAACTTGCTTCTGCTTAGTCCTACTTCTAATTCACTGGTTTGTTGTTGCTCTTCCTTCTTTTATGTGATGAAGCAGAATCGAGCAGATAAAACCGGACCAGAAGATAGACGAAAAAGGCGAGGAGTGAGAGCGAGAGAGAAAGCCCCAGGATCAAATCAAATGCTCAATCACCCCGATCGTCTACCGATCATTTGCTCTCGAGACTCGAGTCTCTATGTAGTATGCAGTGTCCATCGTCCACTGCACTCCTTCTTCTACTGCCACACTTACCCCAATGCCCTCTTAACCCTACGCTCAATACGAACTATGCGCACCACCATCACACCTCGCTTGCAGATTCAGATTCAGACGTCCCTTCTATCATTATGGGTATGGGCCCATGGTGTTCTCCATCCCAACCCCTAATCCAGGCTTGATGGTCTAGTAGTATGATTCCTGCTTCGGGCTTAACACGCCCCCTCCCTCGTGGGGAGGACCAAGCATTGCAGGAGGTCCCGGGTTCAATTCCCGGTCAAGCCCATCATAGCATGTGCTTGACGTGCATATTTTTGGTTTTTTGTTTGGTGAATGCACTGTCACAATTAAGTGCTGTACGCCGGGCACGCGTGACCTGCGTTTTTGCTTGTTTTTCGGACTATATTGGTTTTGGTTTTCTTTTGCGTCTGCGCGCGTTGAACGTTGACGCCGAATAGCACACAATTACTCAGTGCTGTACAGTTCCATGTTTGACCCCACAAATCCCCATCCTAATGTGAGCGTCGTTGTGCAACAATTCCCATGCGAAACTTTCTGTGAGCATTGAAAGATTGTCAAATAAATGTCGGAGTGTCAAAAAGGTAAGCTACCAAATCCATAAATATCCGTAAAAGACGATCCAAATCCAAATCCACAAGTTAGTCAAGTACACTACATCCCACACCTCCCACCTCCCACCTCCCACCTCCTACGTCCTCTCCAACTCCTTCACCAACAGATCATTAACCAACTTCGGATTATCAATATACAAATGATGCCCCGCATTCCCCACCACATACATCCTCCCCTCCCCATTCCCCGCCTCCCTCATCTTCTCCACCGCATCCCTCCCACCCTCCGGATCCATCCAATCATGGTCCCCATACACGAACGTCACCGGGACCTTTATGTCTTTGACACGGTCCACCATAGGCATGCGCGCGTGTGCGCCTGGGGCGAGGATATGCGAGATACAGTACTCGCCGGAGCCCTTAGCGAGAGTGATGTTAAGCATATACGCATGCATATCCCTCGTTTCCTGTTCGTCTAATCCAGGGAACCTCCGGGCAGAGTATTTCCCCACAAGCATAGGACCCCAGACAAACGCCGAACGCACAACCTGGAACGGGCTCCATCCCTCCTCCCACAGATACGTGAACAACTTCCTCGCCCGACTCTCCCTCTCCTTAACCTGGTTCTGCGTTTCCTCGACTTTCCTCACGGTTTCCTCTGTCCCCTCCTTCGTCATCCCTCCCGGTCTGCCGACGGCACCATCCGGCGCATCCACCTCCGCACTAAGCACGGTACTTCCCGGCGCCCTCGGCACCCCCGCAGGCGAAAGCAACACCAACCGCGCCACTCTCTCCGGATACTTCAACGCATACGCCAAACTAAAATACGCTCCAAGACTATGCCCGATGAGCGTCATCCTCTCCAACCCCTGCACACCGCGCCACTCCTCCAGCGCATCAATAAAGAAAGACTCCGCCTCGGCTACGCGCGCCGCCGTATCGCTTCGGGGGGATTTGATCGAGAACGGCGGGCGTGCGGATCGGCCCATCCCAAGCCAGTCTACGGCGTAGACCGATGTTGAGCGGCGGGAAGCCCATTGGCTGAGGGGAAGGTAGTTGTGGAAGAAGAACCCGAGCCCGGCGCCGTACCCGTGGAGCAGCACGGCGGGAGGCGGGGAGGAGGGGGTGCGTGGGGATGTGGAGGACATGGTGAAGGTGTTGAGGAAGTGTTTGGGGTTCGAGGGGAGCGGGACTTTGCTGGAGAAGGCGGAAACGCCGGGGTCGGTGGGCGGTGCTTCGGATTGGGTTTGGCTGTTTCCCTCAGGTTGGAAGGTGGAATCGCTGTGTGTGCTTTCTTTCGATGATCTGCATTTCGTAGACGACCCAGCCAGGCTGGATCCACGGTAGAACGGTAACCGTCTCAACAACCTCTCCTCCGCTATCGCCCCTTGTTTCTCGCCTGCGGCCCACCACTGCCGTACAGAGGCACCGAACGCCGACGGGATGGCGTCTGCGGGGGGTAAAGGGAGTGGGAGGGAGACGGAGGAGGCTGAACCGGACGCCATGGACGACGGTGTCATTGCGGCAGACATTGTGGACATGCGGCGCGCGGGGGCACGAAGTAGGAGGAACGTTGTGGTAGGTAATGGGGCGCTTGTGTGCGCTGTATAATATCTACACTGAAATAACTAGTTAGAGAGGGATGGGATGGTGGGTGGGTAAGACGCACCTGAAGAGTGGGGTTCCAATCGAATCCTCTGCGCTGTGATTCTCTGCGCTCCTTCGGTTCAAGCTTCTCGAGAGTTTCTTCGTTGCCTGGAATTCGTCTTCGTCTATGACCTTTATATCCTTCCTTGCGTCCAAGTTGCCTTTGCAAAGGATCTCTGTCGTGGTGTCTGGTAAACCCCACGATCGCCGAGATCCGTGCTACATATCATCAATCGCTTATGCCGGCTGACGCACCTGCCGCGGCACCCCCATCACCGCCCGGCGCCCATCGTTCTTACACATGGAGTCGAATGCCGAGCGTGCTGCGTAAGTGCTACGCGCGGTGCGCTCAACCAGGTACTGTACTTTCGTTTCTGCAGGGTTTCTGTGCTACTCGCATGCATTGCTCAACGCGTCTACGGTACTTACATACTGTGCAATGTATAATAATCAATCCAACGTGCGACATCCAGTCTGAGCTCGCATACACCCTCCTTCTCAGCCTGCCCTGAAAGTCAGATTTGGAGTCCTGCTCTCATCTCTCCTCCTTTGCAACCTCATCTCTCCCACCTGCCTCACCCCTGTTGTATTCCCCATTACCGCACCCCTCGAGTTTCCACAGGCCGCGCCCCGATCACCAGGCTTGATGGTCTAGTAGTATGATTCCTTCTTAGGGCGCGCCAGCAGTCATCTGGAGGAGGTCCCGGGTTCAATTCCCGGTCAAGCCCATGTAGTCCGGATAGTCCTTTTTTTTTGCGTGGACATCCTGATGTCCGAGTCTTGTAACCAGTAGGTAACTAGTTTTTTAAGCGTTGGTTACTGATCTTTTGAGCGTTAGGTACTGGTCCTTTGACTGTTGGGTACTGGTTTTTTTGAGGCCTTGAATTGACTTCTTGAATCTCGACTTTGAATTTTGACTGTCGATTCAGAGTGAGTCCTGGTGTTGAAGTTCGCCTCTGAGATTGAAGGATTCAGAGACTAGCCGGGCAGGGTAAGCCTTGAGCTGCTTCCCGCCGCTGTACGACCGTTGACCGGTCTGAATATCCACATCCAAAATGCATGTCCAAAAGAAAGTATGTACAAATATTGTTTGTGGCAGCACTAGCTTAGTACTCAGCTAGATTCACTACTTAGTGGCTAGATTTATCCCGTAATGAATTCTCAAGCTTAACGCAGTGTACACTCCCATACACATGTCTCAAACTTAACTAAACCTTGAGCCGCGAGCGACGAGGGGAAGGAGAGTGGCGTACAGCGATCACCACGGCTGGACCGGATCACGCCGACTGACCAGATGACGCACGTGTTCGTTCTTGCTTCAACACCACCGCACCGTCTCACGAAAGGCTTAGACGCAAGCCAAAACCCAGACGAATCAAAAAGGAAAAGCAGACGTAAAGAAAGAAGGAAGGATGTATAATGGAATTGGACTGACGACGCCGCGCGGGAGGTGTGTTTGTGTTTCTTCTCACCTTATCCCGACGCCTGGCTTTGTGCATGGGCTCTTTACCCTGTATTCGCCGCGCCTCCTCCCCACACCACCCTACCCAAATTCCAGCCAACCCCAAATCCCACTCAACCCCAGCATACTAACCCGTCTACCTCTAACAGTGGAACCAACGGCTACGTCACGCGCAACCTCTCCGCGCTACGCACGCACACGGCGGCGCAAGACCGCGCTGACGCCTGGGCGGTGGCGCCTGCGAAACACCGGGAGCCTGATGCGGAGATTCTTGCGCATGAGGCGAAGAGGGCGGTGGAGGTGGAGTGTATGCGGTTGAGGGTGCAGTTGGAGGATGAAGAGTGCGTGTGGTTTTTCTGCCTTTTTTTGTCTTGGCTTTCAAGGCGCAATTCCTTTGCGAACTGCCCTGCCTTTTCAAACTGCCCTGCCTTTTCACACTGCCCTCTTTTCTACGTGTAGTGTATGCTAACGACGTCTGGCAGAATCCCAGAAGACACGATCGAAGAACACGTTTCTGCGCTTCGGGAAAAACTGCTCTCCGTCGCTCCTCGTCCCGTGGAACCGAAAAAGCTCAAAGCGTCTGACACGCACGCTATTGCTGTCGCCAAGGCTGCGGAGATGGACAAGATGGCGCGGGCGTTGGGGACGCGGGGCGGGTACCTCGAAGGAGAGGCGTTTGATCGGGAGAAGCAGGCGGAGAGGAAGGTGGAGAGGGAGCAAGCGAGGGCGGTGCGTGCGGCGGAGAAGGAGGAGAAAGAGAAGGAGTGGAAGGAGAGGGAGAGGCTTAGGAGGAGGAGGGAGGAGGAGGAGCGGGTCAGGGCGAAGGAGGGGAAGGGGAGGGAGAGGAGGGAGATGGGTCCTCCCCCGACAAGGAGGAGTGTGAGTCCGCCCCCGAGGAGGAGGAGTCCGCCTAGGAGAAGCAGGAGTATGAGGTCTCCCCCGCCGAAGAGGACGAGAAGGAGGAGTTCTTCGGGGGATTCGGACCGGCGCCGGGGGAGGAGCGAAAGTCGGAGTGTGTCTCCTCCGCCGGTGAGAAGGAGGCGCGCGCGGAGTGATAGTCGCAGTCTTTCTCCTCCTCCGCCGCCGAGGAAGGAAAAAGAAAGGGAGAGGGAAGTGTCTCCGCCGTCTCCTCCGAGGAAGCAGAATATCCATCCGTCGAGGTTGGCGCTTGTTCAGCAGAGTGCTCCTCCGCCACCGCCCCAGCAAGGGAGGAGGAGGATGAGTCCCCCGGTGCAGAGGAGAAGGAGGAGTCCTCCGGTGCAGAGGAGGAGGAGTCCGTCCCCGAGGCGTAGGAGTCCTTCGCCGAGACGCCGCAGCGTTTCGCCACGACGCAGGAGCATCTCTCCGCGGCGCAGGAGTGTCTCTCCCCGCCGAAAGAGGGCGAGGAGTGATTCAAGGAGTGAGAGGGGGAGGAGCCATTCAAGGAGTATTTCGAGGAGCTCGAGGTCGGATTCGAGGAGTGTTAGTCCCCGTCGCAGAAGCATTAGCCCCAGGCGCAGGAGCCCGAGTTCCAGGCGCAGGAGCCCGAGTCCCAGGCGCAGGAGCATCAGTCCTGCTAGGCCGCCGCGTAGGAGGGGAGAGCTCAGTGTTAGTCCGAGAGCTGGTGGGAGGGCGAGGTCGACGTCTACGGGGAGTAGTATGAGTGTTAGTACTAGGGGTGGGGATTAGTATAGCAACAGGATTCAGACTCAAGGGGAGTAGAGGTGGGGTAGAGGTGTGGTTTTGTGTGTATTTTGTGTTAATGTGATGTGGTGTTTGAGGACGAGTACGTTTGTGTGAGTGCGTTTGGGATTGTGATGTCTGTTTATTCGATGCTGCTGGCTAGAAGAAATACTGTGTTCAGGTGGCCTGTACAATTGTAAACATAGCTCTTACACATCTTTCCTTTCATTGAATATAACGTAATGCAACTCGATTTCTGTCCCACGTCGCATAGCCTTTGGAAACCTCTTCCTCTGAATGTGATACCTAACACAGTCCTCTCGTACGCATCTGCCACACAAGCCAAACGCGTGTGGGAGCCCTCGTCCAACTTGTCAATGTTCAACATGCCGCTGCATCGCTGCAGCCCGCGACGCACACCGCACTCTGCCCCTCCACATCTGCTGCTCTGCTCAGTGCCAATTCACAGCACAACGCGCATCCGCACACAGAGCAACGCACATCCACACACAAAGCAGCGCACATCCAACACAGAGCAGCCCGCGTCCCACACAGCGCAGCGCACAAGACCCCTTTCATCGGCCTGATGGTCTAGTAGCATGATTCCTGCTTTGGGCGCATCCCGAAAGGGAAGTGGCACTTGCAGGAGGTCACGGGTTCAATTCCCGTTCAGGCCCTTTTTGGTTTTTCTCGGACGTCGAACCTTCAAGACTCCACTACGAACTGAGACTAATGTGTGTACTAACACTAGGCCTAAATGACAATATTCTGAGCCCAAAACATTGTGAAGATAAGCCGGATACTCAGACGGACCGTTGCAGCCACCAGTGCGAGTAGCACAAAAAATTCACTGAGCCTCAGTCCGTAAGGCAGTACTAGTGAGCACATACGCACTGCAAGGCAGTGGGCACATACGCACTGAGGCTTGTCCTGACTTCAAATTGAACAGCCCTTGACGCATTGGAGACACCGCCGATCACGGCTTGATGGTCTAGTAGTATGATTCCTGCTTCGGGCTTCACAACCCTCCTCCCCCTTTGTCGGAGGAATGCACTGCAGGAGGTCCCGGGTTCAATTCCCGGTCAAGCCCATAATGCGGATGCTCGGTTTTTGGAGTTTTTTTGTCTGGGGCAGTACTAGTCACGGTGGGTAATAGGACTTTTTTTGTTTGGGTACAATAATGGAAGGATAATGGCACGCGGAAAGGATAATGGCGTCTAACCGTGAGACGAATGACACGCTCCAGATTTCTTGCTCGGGCTACTTGACGCTATGATACGCTTTACTTTGATTTGGCGCTACTACACTGTGACATTACTGCACGCCTCCAACACCCTACCCCCAAACACCACACCACACTCCACTACTTGACGCTTTAAATACTTAACGCTACACTGCACGCCGCACCCTACTTGATAACCAACTTCCACAACCCCTCCTTCACATCAACAAGCCCCTCCCTGCGTGCGGCATCCAAAAGCCCCGCAAGCTGCTCCGTCGTCAGATTATACGTGTCCACGAACCCGAGCATCGCATGGATGCGCTCGAGTGGGAGGTTTGGCAGGTTCGTGAGCATGCCTTGGATGAACTGTAGGAGGGGTGGGGAGGAAGGTGTCAGTAAGAAGTGATGTGAAAGAGGTGTAGGAGAACGATGGAAGAGTGTAAGAAAACGATGAAAAAGTGTAAGAAACGATGAAACCACGGGCACACAGATTCAGCCAAAGCCGGAACGCACCTTCCAATACACATCCATCTCCCTCCTCCCTTCCTCCCTCCTCCTCTCCTCCTCCCGCCCTTCTTCTTGTCCTCCCCCTGCGCCCGCTTCCTGCTCGACCAACCTCTGTTTCGCTTGCAACTTTCGCGCATCGCCCTGACCCCCTTCACTCTCCGCACGCTCAAGCAAAACATACGTATCCTCCTCCGTCTCCTTGATCACCCCATGGTTCACCCAGGTGAGGAGCGCCTTGAGCGCAGCGGCGCGCGTGATCTTGCCGAGGCGCTCGATGAGGGCCGGGACGGTCCATGTGTCTGTGGAGGGTTAGTATTGGGGGTTAAATGATGAATGCAAGAGGAGGGTGAATGCAAGAAGAGAGTTGATGAATGCAAGAGGAGGGTTGAATGCAAGAAGCAAGTGGAAAAGAAAGAAAAGAGGTACCGCAACAAGGGAGGAATAACGCAACGCAACGCAAGCGACGGGGCAGCGGAAAACAAACACAACGCCCACAAAGAAACAAGCACGCACCCTGCTCACTAAACAGCTCTATAAACGCAGCCTCCAACGGCGGAACCTGCACCCGCACCGTCCGGTCCTCCAGCTCCAGCTCGAGCGAGACCGTCCCCAGATGCGGGAGCCAGCGCAGCTTCTTGTCAGGTTTGAAGAGGGTGTATTGTTTTGCGTAGGATGATTGGAGTCTGTGGGGGTGGGGGAGGGTGAGGTTAGGAAAGGCATGGATAGGAATAGGAACGTAGGGTGAAGGGAAGTGAAGGAAGAGAACAAGAGAAGAAAGAAAGCGTAAAGGCAGGGCAGTGGGTATGTGAAGTGTAAAATGTAGGAAGACGCACCTCTCAAACTGCCCTGGCAACTTGAACTCCGCGCCTTCCACCGCAGGCCAGAAATGCCGCGAGATGATCGTGGGATGGAGGACGCCGAGGTTTTCCTCTGCACGGACCACACGAAAGCGTTAGAACAACCGTTACTGACTCGGAAAAAAAAAGAGGACAAGCACGAAAATTCGACTTGAGGCGGGCACGGAGTCGATGAAGTATGGACCAAGCAGAAAGGAAAGAGAACAAATACGAAAAAAAAACACAAGCACGAAAAAAAAAAGCAGAAGAAAGACACACCTTGCGCCTCCACCTGCCCCTGCACATGCACATCCGTCCGCCTCGAATCCCCCATATCCTTCAACATCACCTCACACACCTGCAGCGCCGCATCCCCAAACCGGATCTTCAAAATCTCCACATTCCGCCTCTCTTTTTCTGCTGCGTCTACTGCCGCCTTCATCGCATCGGCGCCCTTGCCTGCATCGCCGCCTTTGCCTTTGCCTGCATTGCTACCATCGCCGCTCTTCATAGACACACTAGCATCGCCTGCATCCCCACCTTTACGAGCATCCCCCCCACCCTTCAACAACCGCTGCGCCAACAGCACTTGCAGCTCCTTCACAAACAAATCCCTACTATCATATATACTCACCAACGTGCTAATCACATCCGCAGGCCTATTCGCGCGGAAGTCGGGGCCGGCGTCGAGCGGCTCGGGTTCCCAGTTCGGGTCGGTGTAGTCCTCGAGCTCGGGCTGGTGTAAGGGCGCGGGGGGTTCTGTTTCGCCGAGGATGTCGTCTTCGGAGTCTTCGTCTGGGTCTGTGGGGGGAAAGGGAAGGGTGAGTGATAGCAATGACAAGGAGGAGAGGAGGTGGGTGTGGCAAGGAACCGCAAGCAAACGAAAACCACAAGCACAGAAAGCAACCAAAATAAACCGCAAAAAAAAGAACCAAAAACAAAAAAAAAGCACAAAATCAAAGAATCAAGCAGAACTCACCCCCAGACCCCCCAACAAGGTTCGCAACAATACACCGAATCGTATCCGGCCTCTCACGCAAATACCTTCTTATCGGGTCTGCGACTTTGAAGAGCAGCACCCCCTGGGGGTCGATGGCGCGCAGGCATTTGATGGTGAGGACGTATTGTTGTAGGATGAGGCGTGTGTCTGCGCCGGGGTGGAGGAGTCTTTTGCGGTTTCTGAGGGGGGAGGGGGAGGTTAGTCTACGCTAGCAGTACTCGGCAGGTCTTGTTGTGGGTGAGAGGGAGGAGGAACAAGACAAGTGAAAGAGGCGAGGAAGCGATAGGGAAAGCAAAAAAGCAAAAAAGCAAAAAACACGCACGCCTTCCTCAAAGCCTGCACAAGACTCGCCCTCCCATCCACACGCACCAAACATTCCTTAATATCCTCCAAACACGGCGCAGAATCCGGATAGTCAATAATAATATCAAACAGCTCCGAAATCCGCAAATCACATAATGTCTTCGCAACGTGGAAGTCAAACCGCGAGCTCACGGTCTGGATAGCTGTCATCGCTGCTTGGTCTGTTCGCGCCCATTAGCTTTTCACAGAGAGGAAGAGATACAGGGAGAAGAGGAAGAGATGCAGAAAGGCAGAAAGAGAAACCAAAAGCTAGAGAAGGACCCAAAAACTAGAGAAAGAGCAAAAAGCACGCACCATCCTCAATATCCTTCGCATACACACTCCTCAACCACGGCTTCACCCTCACCGCAACCCACCTCCTCAACTCCGGCATAACCGCCTTCCCCCACACCCCCGCACACGTCGCACGCATCACGCGCTCGATATACTCATACCCGACCGATGCGATGACAGTTTCGTACCGGTCGAGCATCCCGAGGGCATCGAAGGTGTCCCAGATTCGGAACGCGAAGTGCGTGGGGTCTGTCCAGGGGGTTGATGCCGCCGTCGCTGCATCTGACATTGCGTCGCCCATACCTGCGTCGCCCATACCTGCGTCGCCCATACCTGCGTTGTCCAAGGCGGCGTTGTCGGCAGACCCAGGCACAGTGGAATCAGCATGTATATTGGGCAACGTGCATGCGCAGAGGTGTTTGAAGCCGGTGATGAAGCTGGGAGGGAGAGCAGCGAAGAGGAGGGTGTGGAAGTGCAGGGTGAAGGTGCCGCAGATGGTTACGCCTAGTCTGCCGGGGGGTGGTTGTTAGATATATGCATACATGTGTGAATGTAGAACGTAGAAAGAAAGAAAGCATGGAAGCATGAAGAAGTTTACATGAAGAGGTCGAAAAAAGCGATAGAAGGAAAGCAATAGAAGAAGGAAAGCAGAAGAAGGAAAGCAACGGAAGAAGGAAAGCAAAAGAAGAAGGAAAGCAGAAGAAGGAAAGCAACAGACAAAATAAATGAAGCGACAAGCAAGAGAGTAAACGCACTCAGACCAAGGCAACCACGCATCATACCACCTCCTCAGGGCCTGCACCAACCTCGCAATCTCCCTAGGATCCCGCGGCTCCGTAGCCTCATACACCTGCAAATGATAGTGTATCGTGCGCTCTACCAGGGGGAACGCCTGTCGGGTTTGTTCGATGAGGCCTTCGAGGAGGACGGGGAGGCGGCGGGATTGGCCGACGAGGTCGAAGGCGTGGCGGATGAGGCTTATGTCTGTGTAAAGGAAAGGAAGGGAAGGGAGGTGTTAGTTAGGGTGATGGTGAGAGTGGAAGTTTGGGTGAGAGTGGAAGGAAGAGTGATGGTGGAATGATACTGGCAGCAAGAGTAATGCCAAAACCAAGAGTAACACCACGGGGAGGGACGAGGGTATGGGGAGGTGAGACGAGAGGCAGAAAAGGAAACAGGGAAGAGAAGAGCAAGGAGGAAGAAAAGACGCACTGTAATCCGGCCGTACATCCGCTGGATTCATGATATCCCTCGGCCGGAGGTACTCCTTCGCCATTCCCCATGCCTACTTTGGTGTATCAGTCTTTGCATAAACACACACGCATAATATCCAGGCAAGGTGCATGATGTATGTGTATGAAGCACTACGATGCACGCATGTCCACACTCGATGCATGCACCAAGAACGCAGCACAAGCACAAGAACGCAGCACAAGCACAACACCCAAGCAACAACACCCAAGCAACAACACCCAAAAACGCACCTGGCTAAACTCCATCAACCCTTGAATCCCAGGCTCCGCACGGTTCAGCCTCGCAAACGCCTCTCCCCACTTCGCGGCCACTTGCGACCGCAGCGCCTCTGTCGTCCCGTCGTTCAGCGCCGCGTCTCTGGCTGCTGGTGCGAATAGCGCCATATTTGTATGGCTTGGTGATTGTAAAGCTCTTCAATCGTAAAGCTCTTTAATCGTAGAGCCCCGTTAATCGTGACGCCAGTCGTTAATCGTGTTTCCAGTTGTAGACGTCCAACAAGTGCAGAATTGTGTGAGTGTGGAACTTGGTTATGGATGGTGGGGATCGAAGTGAGAAAGCAAGTCGCGGTCACGCGTCTATTGATGGCGGGATCAGGGACCAGGGTACACAGTCTCTCCAGCATCTCTCTTTCAGAGTGG